AGCGAAACATCATGATTTTCTCTCTGCGGCGGCAACTCGGGTCGAGATGGAAGTTTAAGATGGTAAGCGAGAAAGAGTCGGACTGGATCGTGACAGCATGGAGACGCCCAGGAATAATCGCAGCATGTTGATGCTGAGGGAGCAGAGCGAGAAGAGAGCGTGCAAGCACGATCGCGTTCCCGCCAGCGTGGCTGTCGGGGCAGAACGTACAGAAAGATTCATAGCCAGGGAACTCGGTACGCAACGATTCGCGATCCCCTTCGTGGCCGTGCGTTTCTTGTAAGCAAATGATATTGTTTGCCCTAGTTAGGCTAGTAAGTCGATCGAAGGTCTTGACCTGAGTGTCGTGGCCCCCCGAGACCGCGCCGAACAGGGTATGGCAGTTCCAGGTAGCAATCCGAATGCCTCGACCATTGGCCAGGGACGGCGGAAAAGAAAGGCGAGAACTCGCTGGGTTCTCAGGCGAAGGCGGCTGGGCTCCAAAAACAGCATTCGACAGAGCAGGAGAGCAGCGGGCAGAGGGCGCGGGGGCAGCGGGGGGAGACGCGGGCAACAGAGGCAGCGAAGAAGCAGGAGAAGACGAACAACTTGCACACAATACTCGGCTGGCGTCACTTCAGTACTGCTGGACGGAGGCCTGGGCCTGCTCGACCATCCAGTTGGCGGTCGCCTCGGTGATGTTCCATTCGGAGAGCTGGTCGCTGATCGGCTTCAGCTCGTACATGCCTCCCGGAGCGTCGGACAACTTGAAGATCTCCCAGTGGTCATTCTCGGTGGTGGTACTGAACACGCCTTTGAACGGATTGGTGCCAATCTTGACCGACGGGCTCCACTTGCCTGCGTTCTCAAGGTGCTTGCGGACGAGCGGCCAGAGAGCGCTCAGGACGCGGTTCTTCTGGCGGGCTTGCGGTGGCATATCTCTGCGGCAGCGCAGTGGATGAAGGGAGGTGTTGCGGTAGTCCTGCCACGTCACGGGATTCGCGAGGAACCAGTCGTGGAAGTCGCGGGCCTTTCGCTCGGAGTTGAAGGTGACGGCGAACGCTTGTGAGACCTTTTGGAAATGTCCTGTCATCCCTTCGCTAATGGTGGCAGGAAGTCTGCTTTTCATCTGGTTGAAGACTGTGCGCCTGTACGGCTCGGTGACTGGGCGAGGAAAACCACTCATCCAACGTCTGGTCGGGTCGATCTGGTTGCGGTCGTCGCTGGCGAGGTCGATCACGGGGATCTCGGAAGAGCTGGAGCCGACGCTGGTGCCCATTCCCAGGCGTCGGGACTTGGACGGCGGACGAGTTGAAGCGGAGCCTGCATCAGACGGAGCACGTTGAAGTTCAGCAAGGGGCGCTTCGAGCCTGGCCATCTTCTCATTCATCTGGCGTTGAATCTCGAGCCCTGCGTTTTTGGCGGTGGGGTTGCCGTCCTCGGTGTCGAAGAAGGCGGCGTTGGTGGCGGCTTCTTGATGGGCATGCTCGAGTCGAGAAACTCGTAGGTCCATGTCGAGAACAAGGGCTTCGTGAGCGTTCTTGGCCTCTTCGAACTTACCCTCCATGGCGAGCTCGAGATCGGAAATATTCTCCTCGAGCCCTTCTGCAACGGCGAGACGCTCTTTGACATCCTTGATGTCATCCCTCATGGCGTTCATACCGCCGTTCGTACGTTCCAGAACCTGGAGCAGCTGAGCGTTGGATACCTCGACGGCGGCCATTGCACTGCCAGGGAGCGAGACAAGAAACTCGTGGGAGAAACCAGGTGGCAAAATGCCTCAGTGCGCGAAAAAGGGTCAACCCCCGACCCTTGTGTCGAGGGCCGAGTCGGGAGCAGCCCTGCTCTGACCTGGCCAGCTGCCTTGAGGAGATGGCAACTTAAGCCAAAATGGCTTGAGCCAAATGGCTACGGAAGGAGGAGGAGGGGGAGGAGGGGGAGGAGGAGGAGGAGGAGGAGGAGGAGGAGGAGAAAAAGGAGGCGGAGTGGGAGGAGGAGGGCAAATATGAGGAGGAGCGTTTGGAACAACACAAAAAATAATCTATTTCTTCTCTATTCCCCGAACGGTTTGCTGAACGGGGCGCTGTCGTGATAGAAGCTAACTCTGGCCGAGAGAATTCAAAGCAGAGACGCCTTTAAAACTTTTGCGGCCTGGGCCATTTCGCCTGAGACATCCTCGCAACTCCCGGTCCTGAGTTGCAGGGGATTGGGGGATTGGGCGTGGCCCCCCCCCCCCTTCCGCGATGCAGGGTGGGTTGGGTGGGGTCGAGGCCTGGCCTCGCGGAGCCCTTGGGCGATGGCCCGAGCGAGCGCCCAAGGGCGCGCTGCCTCCCGCGTCTGTTTGACCCCCGTTCCCTGGGCGTTGCCCCGCAGCTTCACGCAAGCGCGCTTGCCCTCCTGGATCACCGGGCAAGGCCGAGCGAGGTGGGCGAAGAACGATGAGCAGATCCTTTGACACTACAAGCCAGTAGCCCTGGCGGTCGCACTGGTCCTGGGACGCACGGTCCGAAGGGTGTAGCCCCCAAGCACGAGTGGACCCATGTATGATCACCACTTTGTATGCTTCAGCACTCTTTGGAAGCATGGGAGGTCGTAGACCTTGGGGTAGATGCCCCGGCGGGCCCGGTTCTCGAAGATCCACTCGTTCCCCTGGTCGCGGAGGGCTCGGACGCAATCGCATGTGAGCTCCGCGAACAGGCTGCCCTGCACCTCCTTCGGGTTGGTGCCGCCCCCCTCGGGCTGCTCCCACGTCCGCGTTCAGGTTGTGGTGTTGTGATCCGAGAAGGAGGTGCATGGGCTTCTCCCACATCCAGATGTTCGCGACCCTCGGCCCTGGCGGGGCTCGCGCCTGTGCGAGGAGACGCCCCGTCACCTCTGGCAGGGTGGCGTCGTGGCCCTTCCTGCGTTCCTGCTCCAGGGGGTGGCCCGGGTGTTCATAGAGCTCCAGGGGCTCGTGCGAAGACCTCCTGCCTACGAAGACCTCCTTGAAGCGCGGGTCCCGGGCGAAGAGGAGGAAAAAAAACACGGCGGGTGCCGGAGTAACCTGCCAAGTCATCCTGCCTCCTGCTTCCTGCATCCTGTCCCCCCCGCAGTGCCCCCCGCAGCACGCATCTGCTGCGGGCCGCCCGCCGCCGCCGCCGACGCCGCCGCCGTCGTTGTCGTCGTCGCTGTGTCGTCGTTTTCGTCGTCTCTGTGAGGGGCAGAGGGAGAAGAGCTGTGGAGGCGGGGCAGGTTTGGCAACAAAAACCAAGACTGGGACGGCCAAGTGAGGCCTTGGGGGTGCAAAGGGGGCAAAGGACATGGGGAGGAGGAGGAAAGAAAAGGGAGCAGGAGGAGGAGGAGGAGGAGGATGAGGAGGGAGGGGATGGGAAGAGGGAGGGGCAAGGGGGGAACTCGCTCTTTCATGCTCTCCTCCGCGTCTTCCCACGTACCTCCTCCTCTCTCCATCCCCGTCCTTCATCCTCGCCCTGCCTCCCGCATGCGCCTCACCACCACCACCATCGCCGCGACCACCATTGCCACCGCCACCGCCATCCCCATCGCCATCACCACCACAACCCCCACAGCCACCACCATCGCAACCACCGCCATCGCCACCGCCATCCCCATCACCACCGCCGCCAGCGCAATCGTCCTCACCACTACCGCCGTCGCCACCACCCTCCTCACGAGGGCGACGACGCGTCCACGGGGTTGCGGCGGTACACCGCCGTCCAAGGCCATCGGGGACAGGGACTCCGCCGCGAGGGCGAACCTCTCACGGTCCTGGCGGCGGGCTGGCGCCGTCTCCCCCTCCCGTCTCCCGCTCTGACCCCCATCATACTCCCCCATCATACTCCCTTTTCAACCTCTTCCCCCTCCCTCCTCCTCCTCCGCCTCCTCCCTCCTCCTCCTCCTCCTCCTTCTCCTCCTCCTCCTCCTCCTCCTCCTCCTCTCCTCCTCCTCCTCCTCCATCTCCTCCTCCTCCTCCTCCTCCTCCTCCTCCTCCTCCTCCTCTCCCCCTCCTCCCTCCCTCCCTCCCTCCTCCCTCCTCCCTCCCCCTCCCTCCCCTCCATTCTCTTCTCCTCCTCCCCCTCCTCGCCCTCGCCCCTTCGCCTCCTCCTCCTGGTTCCTTCCGCATCTCCCCCTCCTCAACATTCTCCTCCTCCTCCTCCTCCTGCTCCGCCTAGTCCTCTTCCTCATCCTCCTGCCCCTCCTCCTCCTGACCGGCCCTTCTCCTTTCCCCTCCTCCTCCTCAACCAGAACAGGTTCTGAATAAAACGAACAAGCAGATAGATCCGACCAATCGCACGGCAGAGTCGGAGATCCCCGAACGCGAGGAAGCCCGAGATCCTCCTCCTCCTCCTCCTTAACCAGAACAGGTTCTGAGACGCTGGATAGCCTGAATAAAACGCACAAGCAGACAGATCCGACCAATCGCACGGCCGCGTCGGAGATCCCCGAACGCGAGGAAGCCCGAGATCCTCCTCCTCCTCCTCCTCCTCCTCATCATCATCATCATCATCAGCATCATCAGCATCATCATCCTGACCGTCATCCTCATCCTCATTCCTCCTCCTCCTCCTCCTCCGCCTCCTCTTCCTCCCCCACCTCATCCTCTGCATTCCTCCTCCTCATACGCTTTCCTCATCATTGCTCAGTCCTCCTCCACCAGTTCCTCTTGCTCCTCCTGCTCCTCCAATTCCTCCTCCTCCCCCCCTCACCTCCTCCTCCTCGCCTCCCCTCCTCCTCCTCCTCCTCCTCCCTCCTCTCCTCCTCCTCCTCCTCCTCCTCCTCCCCTCCTCCTCACCTCCTCTTCCTTCTCCTCCTGTTCCTCCTCCTCATCCTCCTCCTCCTCCTTCCTCCTCCTCCTCCTCCTCCTCCTCCTCGTCCTCGTCCTCGTCCTCGTCCTTCTCCTCCTCCTCCTCCTCCTCCTCCTCCTCCTCCTCGTCTTCACAAAATCCGCGCGGAGCGCCAAAAGTTTATGTTTATGCAATGTTTCCCTCCTTCGAGCACTGGAGGGAGGCCCCCGCGCCAAAGGCGTCCTCCGCGGACGCGAGGCACTCCAGGAAGCACCCCCCGCCGCTCTGGTTGGCGGGCGCGCCCCGCAGCAGCAACGCGGCGAGGCCCGGGCACGCGCCCTGCTTGTGCGCGCGGCGGCGGCGGCGAGGCCGCCGCTGGTCGTCGCCGTCGTCCAGGAGGAGGTCGTCTTCGTTTTCCTCCTCCTCCTCGTTCTGCTCGTCGTCGTCGTCGTCGTCGTCGTCGTCGTCCTCTTCTCCTCCTCCTCCTCCTCGTCCTGCTCGTCGTCTTCCGCCCGCCGGTCGGCGATGCTCAGGGCGTGCGGCCTGCGAGAATCGGACCTCCCAGCGGATTGTAAGATCGGGCAGAAGGCTCCCGAGGCTCGCGATCGCGGCGGTTCGGACGTTTCTCGTTCCTTGCAACTGGGCCTTGGCCTCGCCTTTAGGGCAACCGTGTCATACCTCATCCTTCGCCCCCCGCTGTTCCTCTTGCAATCTCTCCCGCCCCTTCCCTCTCCGCCCTGTCCTGCCTCATCCCTCCTCCCCTTTTCCCCTAGAGACCTCGGGGGAACGGGAGGAAACGCCCCCAAATGCATGGACTCTCCAAATACGGGGTCCCCAGAGCTCTCGGCCACTTCCCAGGGACCGTTCTTTCGTCCTGCATAGTTTGTTAACAGTGCCGCGGCGCTGCGAAGGCCCGCAGGTGGCAAAACAACTCTTCGTTGATTGTTTGGTAAGCGCGGTGGGGGTCTGGAGCAGCCTCAGGACCCCCCCGCCCTTCCTCCCAGAAGGGCCACCCTGGGCAGCGCCGCGGGGAACCGTGGCGGCACTAGCCCCGTGCTTCCGCCCCAGAAGTGCGTGGCCTTCTGCGCGCGCCCACGCCAGAGAAGCTCTCTCTCTCGGCCTCGTGCCCCCGCGCAGGGAGGAGGAGAAGGAGGACTTGTGTTATCCATTTCTGTTTGACGAAGGGGGCCTAAATGGCGACTCGAAGGCGTGGCATACAATGCAGGCCGATCCGTCGCAGGCAGCTCGTGCCTAGATCTCTGCTCGCGACGCAGGCCTGGGAAAGCGCTTGACGAAGCGTCGCTGTACAAGGATGCGAGACGATTCAGGCAGCAGGCTACTCGGCAAAGGAAGATCGCTCGCCTTCTCCATCGTTTTGATGCGTGCATCGTGCATACTCTACGCCCTCGCCGGTCTCTAGATTTCTTCCGCGTCTCACTGCCACAATTGCACGCCTCTCGGCCTTCATGTCTGTCACTTCGCCTGAAACGGATATATAAGTATTTCGCCGCATCCCGCCTGCACTCTCGCTTGCAACTTCATCCCACTCAGTGCAGATAGGGGCGGCTCCCTGTGCTCGTCATCCCTTGCCCCCTTGACCCCTGATCCAAACAACGCAGTGTTTCCTCACCTTGCGTTTCCGGCTCGGAAAATGCACCAGGAAATTTTGGTCTATGATTCGAGCCGCGATTCTCTGCGATGTTGCGTTTTTAGAGGGGGCGCGTTTCGCGGGCGCCTGCCAGCGCCGGCACGAGGGGGGGGAGGTTCGACCCCCCCCCCGGCGTTGGCGCCAGCGCGCCGGCGCCGGCGCTAGGGCGGCCGGCAGCGCCGACGTCGGCGACGCGGCGGCGACGATGACGAGGACGAAGTCGACGACAACGACGGCGACGACGACAACAAGGTCACTTGCAATTCTATCTGCTTGGCCCTGAATACAGAAAAATTAACGGAATCGGACATCCAATACACATGTTTTCCATCGCGTGCCTCCCGCAGCTTCCATCACCATCGTCGTCGTCGTCGCCATCTTCGTCCACGTCGTCGTCATCTTCATGCTCGAAGTAGCGGTGGTCGCCGTCGTGGTCGTCGTGGTCGTGATCGCCATCGTCTTCGTCGTCGTCGGCATCACCGTCGTTGTCGTCGTCGTCGTCGTCATTGTCGTCGCCGTGGTCGTGGTAAGGGTCATCGTCATCCTGGAAGTCGTCGTAGTCGCCGTCGTCGTCGTCGTCGTCGTGGTCGTCGTCGCCGTCGTCTTCGTCGTCGTCGGTGTCACCGTCGTCGTCGTCGCCGTCGTCGCCGTCGCCGTCGCCGTCGGCGTCGTCGTCGTCGCCTTTGTTCATGCCCGCCGTCGTCGTCGTCGTCGCCGCCATCGTCGTCGCCGTCGTCGTCGAAGTCGTCGTGGTCATCGATGGCGCCGTCGTCGTCATCGCCATCGTCGTCATTACCGTCGTCGTCGTCGCCGCCGTCACCACCGTCGTCGTTGCCGTCGTCTTCGTCGTCGTCGTCTCCGTCGTCGCCTCCGTGCTCGTCGTCGTCGACGTGGTCGCCGTCGTCATCGCCGACACCGTCGTCATCCTCATCGTCGTCGTCGTCGTGACCGTCCTCGTCGCCGTCGTCGCCGTCGTGGTCGTCGTCGTCGTCGACGTCGTCGTCGTGCTCGTCGTCGTCGTCTCCGTCGTCGTCGGCTTCGTCGTCGTCGTGGTCGTCGTCTCAGGCTCGTCGTTGTCATAGTCTTCGTCGTCGTCTACGCAGTCGTCGTGGTCGTCGTCGTCGTCGTGGCCATCGAGGTTGTCGTGACGGCCGCCGTCGTCGTCGTCGTCGTCGCCACCGTCGTCATATTCGTCGTCGTCGTTGTCGTCGTCGCCGTCGTAGCCGTCGTCGTCGTCACCGTCGCCGTCGTCGCCGTTGTCGCCGTCGTCGTCCCCGCCGTCGTTGCAATTGTCGTCGGCGTCAACGTCGCCGTCGCCGTCGCCGTCGCTACCGCTAGCGTCGTCGTCGTCCTCGTCGTCGTCGTGGTCGTCGTGATCGTCATCGCCAACGTCGTCGTCGTCGTGGACGTGGTGGTCGTCGCAATCGTCGTCGTAACGCTCGTCTTCGTCGAGGTCGCAGTCGCCGTCGAAGTCGCACACGTCGTCGTACTCAAAGTCGCCGTCGTTGTCGTCCTCGTCGTCGTCGTCGCCGTCGCCGTTGTCGCCATCGCCGTCATGGTCGTCAACGTCGTCGCCGTCGTCGTCGTCATCTTCGCCGTCGCCGTGATTGTTCTCGTGCTCGTCATTCCCGTAGCCGTCATCGGTCGTCGTCGTCGTCGTCGCCGTCCTCGCCGTCGTCGTCATCGTCGTAGTTGTCGCCATGGTCGCCGTCGTCGTCGTCGTCGTCGCCGTCGGCGTCGTCGTCGTCACCGTCGTCACCGTTGTCGTCGTCGTTGCTTTCGTCCTCGTCGTGCTCGTCGTCGTCGTCGTTCCCGCTCTCGTTGTCGACATGTTCGTCGCCGGCGTCACCATCGTCGTCGTCGTCGTCGTCGCCGTCGTGCTCGTCGTCGTCGTGATCGTCAGAATCGACGTCGTCGTCATCGTCGACAATGTCGCCGTCGCCGTCGTCGTCGTCGTCGCCATCGCCGTCGTCGTCGTCTTGCCGTCGTCGTCGACATTGTCGTCGCCATCGTCGTCGTCATCGTTGCCAGCGACACCGTCATCGTCATCGTCGCCGTCGTCGTCGCCGTCGTCGTCGTCGCCGTCGTCGAACGTCGTCGTCGTCGCCGTCGTCTTCGTGCTCGTCGCCAACGTTGCCGACGTCGTCGTCGCCGCCGTCGTCGTCGGTGTCCTCGTGGTCGTCGTTGCCGCCGTCATCGTCGTCGTGGTCGTGGTCGCCGTGCTCGCCGTAGTTGTCGTCGTCGTCGTCGTCGTTGCCGTCGGCGTCGTCGTCATCGCCGCCGTGCTCAACGTCGCGCCGTCGTCGCCGTCGTCGTCGTCGTCGTCGTCGCCGTTGTCGTTGTCGTCGTCATCGTCGCGGGCGTCGTCGCAATCGTCGTCGTCGTCGCCGTTGTCGTCGCCATGGTCGTCGTCGTCGTCACCGTCGTCGTCGTCATCGTCGTCTTCGTCGTCGCAGTCGCGTTCGTCGTTCTTGTCGTCGTCGTCGCCGTCGTCGTCGTCGCCGTCCTCGCCGTAGTTGTCGTCGTCGTCATCGTCGTCCCCGTTCTCGTCGCCGCGCCGTCGTCGTCGCCGCCGTCGCCGTGTGCATCATCGTCGTTGTCGCCGTCGTCGCAATCGTCGTCGTCGTCGCCGTTGTCGTCGCCGTGGTCGTCGTCGTCGTCGCCTTCGTCGTCGTCGTCTTCGTCGTCGCTGTCGTGGTCGTCGTTGTAGTCGTCGTCGTCATCTTCGTAGTCGTGGTCGTCGTCGTCGTCGCCGTCGTCGTCGTCGTCGTCGTCGTCGTCGCCGTTGTCGTCATCGTCGTCGCCGTCGTCGTCGCCGTTGTCGTCGTCGTCGTCGCGGTCCTCACCACCGTTGTCGACGCCGTGGTCGCCTTCGTCGTCGTCGTCGTCGTCGCCGTGCCAGTCGTCGCGCCGTCGTCGTCGACGTAGTAACAATCGTCGTCGTCGTCGCCGTTGTCGTCGCCATGGTCAGCGCCGTCGTCGTCTTCGTCGTCTTCGTCGTAGTCGTCGCCGTTGAAGGTCGTCGTTCTTGTCGTCGTCGCCGTAACTGTCAACGTCGTCGTCGCCGCCGTCGTCGTCGTCGCCGTGCTCGTCGTCGTCACCGTCACCGTCGTCGTCATCATTGTCGCCTTCGCCGTCGCCGCCGTCATCGCAAATGTCGTCGTCGTCGTCGTCGTCGCCGTCCTCGCCGTGGTTGTCGTCATCATCGTCGTCGCCGTCGTCGTCATCGTCGTCATCGTCGGCGTGCTCGTCGTCGCGCCGTCGTCGTCGTCGTCGCCATCGTCGCCATCGTCGTCGGCGTCATCGTCGTCGTCGACGGCGTCGCAAATGTCATCGGCGTCGTCGTCGCCGTGGTGGTCGCCATGGTCGTCGTCGCCGTCGTCATCATTGTCGTCGTTGTCGTCATCTTCGTCTTCGTCGTCGTCGTCGCCGTCGTGATCGTCGTCGTCTTCGTCGTTGTCGCCGTCGCCGTCGTCGTCGTTGTCGCCGTCGTCGTCGTCGTCGTCGTCACCGTCGTCGCCGCCGTCGTCCTCGTCGTATAGTCGTCGCCATGGTCGCCGTCGTCGTCGTCGTCGTCGTCGTCGCCGTCGTCGTCGTCGTCGCCGCCATCGTCGTCGTCATCGTCGTCGCCGGCGTCGTGCTCGTCTTCGTCGGTGTTGTCGACGCCGTCGTCGGCATCGGCGTCTTCGTGGTCGTCGCGCTCGCCGTCAACGTCGTCGTCGCCTCCGGTGTCGTCGTCGTGGTCTTCGACGTCGTCGTCGCCATCGCCGTCGTCGTCGTCGCCGTCGTCGCCGTGGTCGTCTTTGTGCTGTCGTCGTCGTCGTCGTGGTCGTCGTGGTCGTCGTCGTTGCCGCCGTCGTCGCCGCCGTCTTCGTCGACGCTCCCCGCCGCCGCCGCCAGCCGCCGCCGCCGCCGGCCCAGGAGGGGGAAAGGGGGCCCGCCGCCAGCGCCGGCGCAGGCCCAGGGGGAGGGATGGGGGGTTCCCCCTTGAACAAGGGGGGGGGCGGGGGGGGCGCAATTCCAGACCCCCCCCTCCAATCGCCTACAGAACGCGCCCTTCTGTTTTTAGGAACGCCGGATCTGACTCAGGCCCCTCCATCCCGCGCTTCTCTCCTTCTCCGCTTGCTCCTCTAGGCTCGCCCTTCCCTGCATCTCCTGGCCGATACTGACATTCACTGGTGGGTCCAGTGCATCGGTGATGGTGCAGGCCATGCTGACTGGAAGGGAGGGCGGCGGAGAGGACCAGAGAAGCCAAGGGGGGCCCTTCCTCCTCCGCCTCGCGAGGCGCGCCAAGAGCCCAGCGCCAGCCCGAGAAACTCGCGCGAACCTCCGAGAGTGTGTGATTACTCCAGCAGGTTGTCATTATTCGATCCAAACCTCCCCTTTCACTCCCTCCCGCCCCTCTATTCTCCCCCCATCCCTCCCTACGCCCCTCGCTTCTTTTTCCCCTCCCCCGCCCATATCATATGGTCTTCGTTACCAGAGTGTTTGCCGACCCCAATCTGCGACTTTTCCAACCCCATCGCGACCCATGTTTTCCGACCTTCGACGGGCAGAATATTTGGGGCCCAACTCGGGGATACACGATGGGAGCCGGTGCCGTCCATACTCGATATGTGCGCGTCCGCGCACCTACCAAAATCCATTCCCCGTCATAACGACCAACTTTTTTCGGAGGGGGACCACTGAGATTGGGGGCGAGAAATCGCCTGCGATCCCTCGCTCCCGCGCCAGGCAGGCCTGAGCTGGATCGAATCGCGGAACCGGATGGGATCGGATCGCCAGCGAATCGTCTAAATTCGAATCGAAATTGGATCGCCGCGCCTGGCTCAGGCTGGTCCCGGCCGATGCCGATGAGCCGATGCCGGTGAGCCGGTCCGCGAACCGAGTCGCGCCGAACTGGATCGTAGGCTCCCGCGCCAGGCCTGTATCTGCAGGTCGGAGCCCAACTCCAGCACCCCGTCAGACAGCGCCAAGACCAGGCGCCAGGTGGCGTCGTGCTTGTCCTGCCGGAGGCGGCCCGGCGGATCGCGGGGGCTCAGCCCCTTCCAGGGGGGCAGCAAAAACAGCACCAGGACTTGGGTGCCGCTTAATGGGGGGGCCCCAAAAGGTTCTCGAGCTCTAAAGCCCCCCTTCGAGGGCCACAGAGGTCGCCCCTCATTGCGCAAGGTCCAACGGACCTTCCAACATCAGGATTACGGTCGAGGCTTTCTGGCAGCCCAGATAGGTCTGCAGGTCTGGGGGAGGGGGGGGCCTGGGGCCTGTCGTCGAGGGTGGGGTGGCGCTGGTTCACAGGTGACGTTGGTCCACTGGTTGCCGGCAGGGCTCGAGCTAAACAGTGTATTCCGTTTTCGTTGTGTTTTCGTTTTCGTTCAATCCGCGGCCGCAGAAGCTCCAACCGTCTCCCCGAGGGTAGTTTTTCTTCCCCGATCCTTGTTTGCTGGCCCGGGGCCTGAATAACGGGCGCCCGAAGTTCGCAATCGAGGACAGAAATCTCGGTTCAAAAAATCAGATCGTCCATCGGAGATCTGGGACCTCGCGACGACGGCGGCGACTACGACGACGAAAACGGCGACGCCGACGGCGGCAGCGCCGACGACGACTAAACGACTACGACTAAACGACGACGCCTAAAACGACGACGACTCAAACGACGACGACGACGACGACGACGACTTAGACTACGACTACGACTACGACTACGGCTACGACTACGACGACGACTAAGACGACGACTAAGCCGACGACGACTCAGACGACGACCAGCACCGCTCCTCGGCGGCCCGCCGACGCCGCGCGGCGGCGCGCGGCTGCAGGCAGGCCAGGGCGGCCAGCAGCGCCGCGCCCGCGGCCGCGAGGGGGCCTCCGCGCCGCGCCAAGAAGGGGCGGCAGTCGTCGGCCGGTGGCCGCCCGTCGTGGCGTCTCGAGCTGCTACCCTTCGAGGGGAAGGATGAGGAGGAGGAGGAGGAGGATCGATCGATCGATCGAGCCTGGGGACGATGGTCGGGTTTGCCGCCTACTTGGAAGGTTGCGTTTGAAAAACTAGTTTAATCCGTCCTAGCTGTGTATATTATTAATACGATTTTACTCATATGTATTAATAGTATTAACCACTACCTTATATCCATCTTTAATAGTAATCAATATCAATGTGTCTTAGTACTATCTTTAATAATATCGGTATTAGTAATATTATTTGTATTATTAATTATTATCCAGATTGTTTTACACTGTTTATGTCGATCCCCGGACCCTGCACAAGGCCGACTTGATCGACCGGGCGTAGCGTAGCGAACGTAATGCCCTTTTCTGGCCTGCCCCCCGTCCCTCGAACATGCACTGGGAAACATGAACCGGCCTCACACGTGCAAGGGCGGTGAGTAGCTGAATTTGAGCGAGCTTTCCGGACGAGGGGGCGTAGGGCCTGAGGATGAGGATGGGAATGGAGGCCAGGAAAGCAGAGTAATTATAGAAGACGGATGGTCGAGCGGATGAATGTGTTGCACACCTGCTATTTGGCAAACTCGCCCTCGGTGAGTCCTGGGAGCTGCGGACTGGGTAATTATTGCATGCCTTGCCGCGCCAGATCCAGCCAGAACCTGACAGCACTTTCCTGCTACAAATCTCCAAACCAGGGATCGTTGGCGATACCCAGAGAAACAACGTGGACTCCGAAGAAAGCTTGCCACAATTAGCGCCCAGGGAGCCTGGCATCCTGCCGGGCAGGGATGAGGCGGGGGGATAGCAAACGAGGGTCGGGCGGGGAACACGACCTTGGGGAAGGGTATGGAAGCAGGGACTTGAACCTTCCGCGTCTCACAAATCGGGGGCGCCATGATTCGAAAGTCAGGCTGGTGCGCAGCATTGTCATGCCGCCCTCTCCTTCCATAGTCCTTTTGTTGAGCCAAGCCCTCATCCATCCAACTCGCCACCTCCTCATGGCCAGCTTTGTGACCTGATTTAAACCCGCAGGTCCTGCAGGAAGGCACTCGCTTGAGGTGGGCAAGTTACCGATTATAAATATAGTGCTCACCTCGGGGGATGGGTGCTGCCTCCCCCTTTGCATCCGAACGGCCCTCTCGCTCTCGGGACGGAAGCCGCACTCATGGCAAAGAAAAACCTCGAACTCACCTGCTTCGTCGGTGGACAGGGCCAAAGGAAACACGGGGATCTCACCGTCATGAGCTCAAATTCTGGCTGCAAAGGGCGGAGCACATGGAGATCACCATTGTGGTCCAGGGTGCGCACCGCAGCTTTGATAACCTGGCCACGAAGAAAAGTTGAGAATTTCTAGGAAATTCGTTCCAATGCTCGATGTTGCCTTCCCTGGGCACCTCCTCGTTACAAAAGAAGCGCGTCAACCAACCCAAGTCGCCTTTTAAAACTTTAGGCCATCCATCACCACTGTGGAGGTAGGTGGTCGAATGCCGGGCGCGAACCGGGCAGCGCGTGCCTGAAGAGTTGGGCAGATATCGCGGGCGGCCAGGAGGTTCTCCCCAGCTCGTCGGCTGAGCCCTTCCAACGCAGCTGTGTTCGTCCTCCACCTCGTCCTCCTCCGCTTCATCCTTCTCCCCCTCGCTGCCTCCATGCATGTACCTTCCCCGTTTCCGCCTCCGCCTCCCCGCGCCCGGCGTCTGTTCCGTCGCCCTAGGTCGACGAATCCTCCCCCTCCCCCTCCCTCCTCCCCCGCCTCCCCCTCCTCCTCCTCCTCCTCCTCCTCCTCCTCCTCCTCCTCCTCCTCCTTTTCGTCCTCATCTTCCTCCGCCTCCCCGTCTTCCTCCCCCTCCTCAGCCTCATCCTTTCCTCCTCCTCCTCCTCTTCCTCCTCCTCCTCCTCCTCCTCCTCCTCCTCCTCCTCCTCCTCCTCCTCCCCATGCCCTCCTTTCCCCTACCTTCCCCTCCCCCGCATCAGCGACATCGCATTCGTCATCGTCACCCTCCCATACTCCCCATGCCCATCCCCATTGCCCTCGTCATTTCCCCCAGCCCCTCGTCCCCGCCCCGCCACCGCGCCCGCCCGCGCCCGCGCCCCACGCCCCGCCGAGGTTCCGCGTGCGCGTGCGTGCGCGCGTGAGTGTGTGAGTGTGTGTGTGTGTGTGTGTGTGCGTGTGTGTGTGTGTGTGTGCGTGCGTGCGTGCGTGCGTACGTGCGTGCGTGCGTGTGTGAATGTGTGCGTGCGTGCGTGTGCGTGCGAGTGTGCGTGTGTGTGTGTGTGTTGTGTGTGTGTGTGCGCGGGTGTGTTTGCTTGTGTGTTGTGTGTGTCGTGTGTATGTGTGTATGTGCCTGTGTGCGTATGTGTGTGTGCTTATGTGCCTGCGTCTGTGTCTGTGTCGGCGTCAGTGTCTGCGTCAATCTATCCGTCTGCGCGTCCGTCTGTCTGCGCGTCGGGCCACCGCGTCGATTCGCAAGAAAACAAAAGATTTATCAAACCCTCATACATCTAATGGGTTCATGTTTGCTACGCGCCCCCGAACTCCTGACCATTCTCCACCGGGCTGCGTCTTCGCCCCCGGCCGCTTTCGGACGGCCCTGTGAACGGGCGGGAAACTCCAGAGATCTTCAGAGGCCGACATCTACGATAAGCGTCAGCCTTGAATGTTGTGGCGAAGTTGGAGGCCTGGGGCGCCCCGTGGCAGCGCACCCCCCCTCTGGAGTCTGCGGCGCGTCGGGAAACAAAAAAAAACACAAGTGCGAGTGCGTTGTGTGTGTGTGCGTGTGTGTGTGTGTGTTGCGCGTTGGGCGTCGCGTGCGTTGTGTGTTGCGCGTGGCGTGGTGCGCGTGCGTTGTGTCGCGTGCGTTGCGTGCGTGGTGTGTCGGTTGTGCGTTGTATGTGTGCGTCGCGCGCGTTGTGCGGGCTGTGTGAGTTGTATTTGTTGTGCGTCTATGCGCGTGTGTGTGTGTGTGTGTGCGTGTTGCGCGCGGTGCGCGCGCGTGCTGCGCGTTCGTTCGATGCCCGCCCGAATCGGAAACGCCGTGTCCTCGCGACGTCTCAAACCAGGCTGCGCGCCACGGCAAACGATGCCGGCTGCAGTGGACGAGGGGGAAAAACGCGTCACGTGGGTGGGGCACGGCCCACTGTGCAGCCACCCGACGCCAAATTGCACAACCCGCGCGCTGCTCTTGTCGCACCCGTCCGCCTGGACCGGCCCTGTCCCAGCGCTGGGCACACCGACGCTCACGCGACTTGCGAACAACACGCGCCACCTTGGTGATTGCCGTTGTCGGTTACGGTGGGTGGGCCAGCCCGTTCTGGGTGGGTTGATGGGGCGGCACCTGCACCGCGCCTCCGCACAAGGCTCACGGTAGCGCCTGCGGGAACGCGGGTGGGCGAGAGAGCGCGTTTGAGCCACGCGTGTGTGCGCGTGTAAAAAAGGAGAGGAGGGGAGACGGGCCACGAAGAGGTTCAGCACGCCGGCCACGGCCATGCCATCACACCTGAAAGGGAGGGAGGGGGAGGGAATGGAGAAGGGGGAGGGACGACGGGAGGGGGACAGGCCAGAAAGAGGGAATGGGGCAAGGAGCAAGGGCAGAAGGCCAGGTAGGATACGGAGGAAAGAGGAGGGGGAGGGGGGGGAAAGGACGACACAGGCCAGGCAAGACAACGCAGCACATCACGGCACAGCAAAACACCGCACAACACATCACACCACAGCACATCACAGCACACGCCGCTTGACGTGTGTGTATGTGTTTGCGTGTGTGCGTGATGTGTGTGTTGTGTGTTGTGGTAAGTGTGTTGTGTGCGTGTTGCGTGTGCTGTGTGTGTGTGTGCGTGTTGTCTATGTTGTGTGTTGTGTGTGTGGTGTGTGTGGTGTGTTGTGTGTCCGTTGTGTTGTGTGTATGTGTTGTGTGTTGTGTGTTGTGTGTTGTGTGTACTCTGTGTTGTGAGTAGTGTGTATTGTGTGTTGTGGTGTGTGTTGTGTTGTGTGTTGTGTGTTGCGTGTTGTGTTTTGAATGTTGTGTGTTGTGTGTAGTGTAAGTTGTGTGTTGTGTGTGTTGTGTGTTGTGGATTGTGTATTGTGTGTGGTGTGTGTTATGTGTGGGTTGTGATGTGTATTGTCTGTTGTATGTGTGTTGTATGTGTGTTGTGTGTGTTGTGTGTCGTGTGTGTTGTGTTGTGTGTTGTGTGTTGTGTGTTGTGTTGTGCGTGCTGTGTGTGTTGTGTCGTGTAGTGTTTGGGTGTTGTATTTGCTGTGTGTGGTGCTTGGGTGTTGTGTATGGTGTGTGCTGGATGTTGAACGTTGTGTGTCTTGTGTTGTGTAGTTAGTGTTGTGTGTTGTGTGCTGTGTGTTGTGTGTGTGTTGCGTGTGTGTGTGTGTGTTGCGTGTAATGCGTGCGTTGTGTGCTGGGTGTGCTGTGCGTTGCGTGCGTTGTGTGGTGTGTGTGTGTTGTGTGTGTGTGTTGTGTGTTCTGTGTTGCGTGTGACGTGTGTTGTGTGCTGTGTGTTGTGTGTGTTGTGTGTTGTGCTTTGTGTGTGTTGTGTGCGTTGTGTGTGTTGTGTTGGTTTTTGTTGTGTATGTGTGAGTCGTGAGTTGTGTGCGTTGTGTGTGTGTTGTGTGGTGTTTGTGCTGTGTGTGCTGTGTGTGCTGTGTGTTATGTGTTGTGCGTGTGTGTGTGTTATGTGCTGTGTGCGCTGTGTGTTGTGGGTGTGCTGTGTGTGCTGTGTGTGCTGTGTGTGCTGTGTGTTCTGTGTGTGCTGTGTGTGCTGTGTGTGTGCTGTGTGTGTGCTGTGTGTGTGTGCTGTGTGTGCCGTGTTGTGTGTGTATTGTGTGTGTGTGCTGTGTGCTTGTGTGCTTGTGTGCTTGCGTGCCTCTGTGTGTGTGTGTTGTGTGCTGTGTGTGCGCGTCGGCGGTGGCCGCCATGGCCGCCGGCCGAGGAGGCCTCGTCCCCGCTCATCGCGCCCCTGTGCGCCGCCGTGTGCGGTATGGGTTCTCCCGATTTCCCGCCGTCCCGCCGCCCTCTCTTTCCCTCTTGTTCCTGCTCCTTTCCCCATCCGCTCTCCCCCCCCCGTCCCGTTTCCCCCTCCCCTTCTGTCATCCCCCCCCCCTCCACTCCGCCCCCGTCCGCCCCAGCCGCCCCGCCGCCCACCCAAACGCAGCAGAGCACGAGATTCGCAAGCCGACCTGGCGGCCGCGAAGCCGACGGCCCGAAGCCGACTGCTGACGACGACAACGACGAAAACGATGACAACGACGACCATCGCCACTCCTCAGAAAATTTTGGGCCACAATTGGCGCGTCCGACGGCAATTTGGCACGATCACAGCATCCCCCAGACGCTCCTGGCGAGGCGCAGCTGCTGAAGCGCACCCCGAGCCTCGAAAACCGGCGAAATCCACGAAAACGCCCGAAATCATCACACCTCGAACCTGTAGTCCACCCCCCCCCACGAGCCGACGGCGACGACGACGACAACGGCGACAGACGACGACGGCCGCGGTGTGTCCTGCCCACGCCAACTCGCCAAACGGCACCGTGCAGAGCCCCGCCAGCAGCCAGGCCGCGCGTGGCTCCTCCGCGCAAAGGGCCGTCAGCACGCGCTCGGCAGCGGCGGCGGCCAGCGCGGCCGCGGCGGCCATGGGCTCCTGGGGCCCGCCCCGCGGGAGGTACGTCGACGACGACGATGACGACGTCGTCGTCGCGCGGGCAGCGTGCGACGCGCACGGGGGTCCAAGAAGACATACCACGCCGAAGATCGAGGAGAAACAGGAGGAGGAGGCGGAGGCGGAGGCGGAGGAGGGGGAGGAGGGGGAGGAGGATGCTCCCAAGCCCTGGCTCTTTTCATGGCCAGATGCTGCGTCTTGAAGCGCAGGTTATCAGCCAAACAGCGGGAGGCGCTCTGTCTGAGCGCCTCCCTCGATTCGTCGCTGGCAAAACGAAGGGAAAACCAAAACCAAGTGTGTGAGCTTCGGGGGGCTCTCTTGGAGGCCTCTGGGAGGCCTGTGGGAGACCTGGGGCACCAGGCGGGAGCAGCCCCTGGAGATCCCTGCAGCCTCTAGGGGCTCTGGTGGCTCTGGGCCGGCGAAACCATGCAAAAAGGGAAAATAATGCCCCGGGCCTCATGCGCCGCCGATGTCCCTGGGCGGGACCCCCCCGGCCACGTCCCCTGGGGCTCTGGTGGCTCTGGGTGGCCGAAACCTTGAGAAAAACACCCCGGGCTCCCCATGCCCTGCCGAGGTCCCTGGGCGGGACCCCCCCCGCCACGTCCCCCCGGGCTCTGGTGGCTCCGGGTGGCCGAAACCCTGGCAAAACACAGGGAACGTAAGGCCCCGGGCCCCCCATGCCCTGCCGAGGTCCCTGCAGGGCGGGACCCCCCTGGCCACGTCCCCCGGCACACACACACACACACATATATATATATATACACACATACATATACACACCTGTATATACATACTTATACATACATATATAAGTAGATACACAGATATACATACAAATTTCAAGCTATATGTAATGTGTCTGCCAACGTGCCCCTGAGGCATGAGTTGTAATGTCTGCAGGTCCGTTGGCAGTCCCTGAAGCGTCAGTTATCATACAGACCAGCGCACTACGTTGGGGTGCGCGACTACGAGGGCGACTCAAGAGAAACAACATAATAGAACGCACTCACAACAAGTCACATCTGCATTACTTTCGTGTCGTAGTGTGGACCTGCTTCTCATGACAGGAGGGAGGGCTGGGTATCGGCGTCATGTGCCTCTCAAACCTGGGTCAACCGACCCCCGTTTGACCTCGATGCGTGATCCCGAGCCTGAGCTCCCAAACATCCGGCAGTTCAAACGTAATCGCGAAGGCCAGGTCTGCAACTGTTGGGCTCCTGGAGTCCAGTGTCGGATCTCGCGAAAACTATCTCGAGGTCCGATGTCACCGCACCTGCCCTGGTAAGAATCGATATGAAAGCGTTGGTTCGGAGGCAACTTGAGAAACAACCGGAGCCGAACACGTCTTGTTATTGAAATGCTTGCAAAACTCTTTCATGCCTCCCTCCTGGAGGAAATGGGGGACTATGTCTCACATCGCCTGGGCTTTGATGGCTCTCCCCTTGCGAACTTTCCGACAAACTTGTCTGACTCGTCCCAACTGGGTAAACTTATCGCCATGGTGATACACGCTCGCTAACAAGAAGCCGGTTTCTCACGAGTCGCACGCGGCACGCGCGACCCCCAGCATGCCTGATTCATGGCTGGAAGGCTAAAGGAAGCCACAATTGCTGAGAGCCTAAACGGCTACAATTCCGCAGGCCCGATGAGCCATCAGCGCGTCGGGTCACCCACACGCACGCTTGCCGTCATTCAAATGTCCATATATACACATGTGTGTATACATACACTGATCATTGTGTCAGCTACTGGCCCGCGCGACACCACTTGGGGATGAGCAACGACACACTGAGCAATATTCGCCACGGTGCCGCGAGGCACCCACAAGACTGTCCCCAGGCCTCTACGAGCTTTCCGGATTGCGAAGTGCCAAACTCGTTGGCATGGCCGCGGACGTCCGATTCCCCAAATCCCCGCATGCGCTTCTGGGCGCCCCCGCGGCATGCCGCAGGCCTTCCGCCGAAGCCTCGGAAGCACGGCCGGGGGCCCCTCCCTCGACACGACCCCTGAAGATCCTGCACGGGATGCCGGAGCCCCCCCCCCGAGGGGCCCCCCGGGGTCGGCCTGCGGAGGGCCCGAGACGGCCTCAAGGGGGCCCGGGAAGGGGCAGATCGAAGGGGCCTGCCGGGGCCCTCCGCCCCAAGCCGGCCTCCGAGACCGCCTCCACCAAGAGGACCACCCGAGGCCCCCAAGAGAGCTCCAGGAGAGATCCTCCAGAGAGCTCCAAGGAGCCCCCAAGACGACCTTAAAGGGGCCAAGAGGCCACAGATAGGACTCCGCGAGGACCCAGGGCGCCGTCCGGGACGACCCAGACAGACCTCTAACATGCGTCTGGCCCACGACCCAAACACGGTGGCGGCAAGGGCCGAAAAGCAATGCGCAAGCGCATTCGCTGCACATGGGACGGAAGACCACCAGATCATCGTGACCTCATGAGAAGCGCTGGATGGGGAACGAAAGAGCTTTTCTGGCCACGGCGAGCCTCAGTCGGCCAAGCATACTTCCCCCTACCTGAATCAAAGAAAAGGCCCGAACACCAGAGACCCTCCTGAGCCCAAAGCTGACCGTAGTCAAGACGCTTCTCGTAACCCCACCAATCCATCCAGAAACCATGCCCAGGCGAGTTGCCCTGATCAGGGATGTGAAAGAGCATGCAGTGGAACAGCGGGCTGGGGAAGCCGTCGTACCCCAAGAGGGGAGGATGGAGGAATCGGATGAGAAGGAGGGGGGAGGAACAGGAGGAACAGGCGGAGGAGGAGGAGGAGGAAGAAGGCGAGCAGAATGACCAAAGGCCTCGATCGTGGGTGCCTTTCCGAGTTTCTTCGGATATCTCCTGAAAGCTTCAGTGGGTCCTCTTGGAGCATCTTGGGGGCTTCCTGGCGGCCCTAGGGGCCTCTTAACGCGTCTTGGGTGCCTCGAGGAAACCTCTTGAGTCATCTTGGGGGTCGCTTGGGAACCTCTTGGGGACCCTCTGGACGCCTCCTGGGCCCTTTTGGGAGCCGCTTTGGGCCCTCTTGAACCCCTCTGGCGAGCCTCGGGGGCCAATTTGGGGCCATCTTGGAGGAGATCGGTCAAAGACGGGGGTCCCGTATTCCACTCCCCCTCCGGGAAGCGAACATGGGCCCAACACCTGAATAAGATCAATGATCTGTGCCGTCTCGCCGAGGCCTTCTTAGACGCTCTAATCGGTCGCGGGTCGCCCCGTTCAGGTCCGGGGGGAGGAGGCAGGGGGAAGGGTCAAGCCACCCTCCCTCCCAAAGCATAAGTAACACCCCAGCCTGAACATGCTCAGCGGTCTTCTTTCGATGGGCAGCTACTGAGAAACAAGACCGAACCCATGTGCGCGACGCTGGGGCGAGGTGCGCCACGCGTGCCAGACGCGCCACGCTCACCAGGCACCCCTGGGGCCCGAGCGTGCCAGACACGCCTGGTGCGCCAGATGCGCCACGTGCCTCCGCGCGCGCCAGGTGTGCCGCATACTTCAGCCGCGCCAGGTGCGCCACGTTCGGGGCCTCGGGGGAGCCTCGGGGGAGCCTCTTGGGGCCTCTTGGGGATCTCTTGGGAGCCTCTTGGGGCACTCTGGCGAGCCTCCAGAGCCATCTTGTGGACAACTAGGAGGAGATCGATCAACGAAGGGGAGGTCTATATTCCCCCCGCTGCCCCCCGCGAGGCCGAAATGGGCTTCAAACCTGGCTGTGAAATCACTGATTGTTGCCTGCTCGCCGAGACCTTCTTCGACGCTCTGATCGTTCGCGGGGCGCCCAGTTCAAGTCCGGGGGGAGGGGGTAGGGGGAAGGGTCAAGACACCCTCCCCGCCCGCAACCTGTCTCGCTCACTCCCAATCGCCCTCCCAACACGTAAGTAACAACTGGGCCTCGGCATGTCAAGTGGTCGTCTATGGATGGGCAGCTACAGGCAATCATAATAGACCCCATGTGCCCGACGCTGGGGCGAGGTGCTCCACGCGTGCCAGGCGCGCTACGCGCGCCAGGCACCCCTGGAGCCTAAGCGTGCCAGGCACACCTGGCGCGTCAAATGTGCCGAGCGCTCCACGTGCGCCATGTGTGCCGCATGGTATAGCCGCGCCAGGTGCACCACGCTCGGGGCGCGCGCAGTGTGCCAGGTGCACCCACACGCACGTGGCAGCACACATCGGGAAGCATGTCGGCCCCACCATCCTCGTCGAACACCAATGCGCAGTCGCTGCGGGGAGACCATCATGGTGCCTTGTGGGCCTGCACACACCAGGCAATATGCCAGCACCCCGCAATCCGTGTCAAAAACTAATGGACAATGCTCGCGGGGCGGCAACGCATGATCCAAATTTAGCCGCGAAGTGTATTGAAGGGGTGGTGGCCTTCCGCGCAGCAGGCAATATGACCTCCAACCGCCGCCCCTGTCAGAAAAGAATACGAAGTGCTCGCGGAGCCCACGAACATGACCCAAGAGTTTGCCCCAGATGTACTTCGTAGAAATGTTTGCCCAGGAAAGCGGCTGGGGGTGTCATTGTTCCTGGTTGGCTGCTGGTCGCCTCTTGGAGGGGGTGTTTATTGATAGAAAACAGGGGGAGGAGAGGTTGGAAAGGAAATCCTCTAAAACTGCTCACGCCCTATCGTGTCGTTGGGATTTCAACGTCTTGACTGTAGCACCGGCAAGCACAGCATCATTCATATAAACCAACGCCCAAGGACCCAAGGACAATGTTCAAACCATCATTCAGAGGTCGCGAACGGGGGTGTCAACATGGCCCCACTACCATGCAACGAAGACACCGCACAACGAAACGGCCACGCAACCACAAAAGAACGTGCAACAACTGATGGGAAATGGCGAAATCGTTTAACGGAGCGTGGCCACATACAGATGCCCATGCAATGGCACTCCTCAATGTTTGACCATCCCAATACACGTGCGACCCTCTTCCCCCCCACATAATCCGCACATCATGAGGCCCCCCCCATACCATCCCTGTCAAAAAATACAACATGCACAGTGCGAGGCCCACCCTGCCAACACCCTCCACAATCCCTGTCAAAAACACTACCAAGTGCGCATTGCAGCAAAATCTGGACTGTTCGCTGGCAGCCTGTGAGCACGTTGTATTGTTTTTTGACGGGGATGGCGGGGCACCCTCAGTGAAGCCGCTTGTGCAGGACCACCATCCGTGTCAAAAACAATGCAAAGTGCACGTTGCGACAACGTCGTGGGTATTGTGCTGGCCACCCGCGATCACTTTATTTTGCTTTTTGACAGGGACGGCGGTTGTGCCCACATGATGATGCTTGCTGTGCGCAAGCCCAGAACAATGCTGACGCCCCCCGCATCAGCATCTGGACCATGCGGACGGGGGGCATCACGTTTTTTTTATAAGGATGGCACACCAACTGCATGTGGAGCCCGCGGTGAGCGTCACGCACCTGGCGTCCGCTTTGGTTCTCAGTGGCTGTCCATCCAGTGGCGACCCCTGGCTATGCCGAGACTCACATGACACTTATGCAGTGGGAGGGCGGGTGGAGTGAGCTAGACTCTGAGCTAGACGGCTTGCGTGCGGAGAGGGTGTCTTGACCCCTCTCCCTACCCCTTCCCCCAGGACCTGAACGGGGCGCCCCGCGACCGATTAGAGCGTCTAAGAAGGTCTCGGCGAGCAAGCAGCAATCAGTGATTTCACAGCCAGGTTTGAAGCTCATTTCGGCCTCGCGGAGGACGGGGGGGGGAATCTGGACCCCTCCTGCGTTGATCGGTCTCCTCTTAGATGGCCCCAAGATGGCCCCGGAGGCTCGCCAGAGTGCTCCAAGAGGGCCCCAAGAGGCTCCCAAGAGATCCCCAAGAGGCCCCAAGAGGCTCCCCCGAGGCATCCAAGACGCTCCGAGCGCCAAGAGGCCCCGAATAAGCTCCAAGAGGACTCACAGAAGCTTTTAAGAGACATCCGAAGTAACCCCGAGAAGCATCCAAGAGGCCTCTGGCCATTCTGCTGACCCTCCCCCTCCTCCTTCTCCTCCTCCGCCTTTCTCTCCCTTTGCCCCGTCCCCCTCTTCCTCCTCCTCCTCCTCCGATTCCTCCTCCTCTTGGGGTATGACGGCTTCCCCAGCCCGCTCCTCTGCATGCCCTTTTACATCCCTGATCAAGGCAACTCGCCTGGGCATGGTATCTGGATGGGCTGGTGGGGTTACGCGAAACGCTTCGAATTAGTAGCAGGCTAGTGGATGCACGGATATACACTGCTTTCACCAACACATCAAGATGTCATCCGGGAGGAGAGCCCAGAGCCGCATACACACATAGCTTTGACATCGCGGACTCGCGCGCAGCAACGAGGCGTAGAAGGTCGGGAGGCTGAGCAAACGCGCACGGGCGCCCAGACCACTCAGAAGCCCCACGCACGCACACACACACACACACAAACACACACACACACACACACACACGCACGCACGCACGCACGCACGCACGCACGCACGCACGCACGCACGCACGCACGCACGCACGCACACACACACGCACACACGCACACACGCGCGCACACACACACACACACGCGCGCGCACACACTCGCGCGCGCACACACAGACTCAGCACGCGCACAAAAACCTGGACTTCAGCTTGAGGTCTTGCCGCCGTGACAGCGCGCGCGATCCAGACCCGCAGCAACCGCCGCCACCGCAGCCCCCCGCGCAGCATCACGATGCCGCGCTGTGCTACGCCACCGCAACCCCGCCATCCCGGTGCCACCCCGCCGCCATCCGAGGAGGAGGACGAGAAGGAAGAGAAGGAGGCCTCTGGAGGCTCTCCGAGGCCTCTGGAGACGTCTGGCCTCTGGAGGCCTCCAAGGCCTCCAAGGCCTCAGAGAGCGCCACCCACGTCCAAGCAGTCTGTGTATTCCATGCCCCTCCCTGCACACAACCAGCGGCGAGCGAGGGGCGGAAGCGAGAAGGACAAGGCCTTCTCAAAAACCCTAGCGCCTGCTGAGCCATTGTTTGTCTTCCGGGGGGAGTTGCGAGAACTTCTCTGAAGGCCGGGGGGCTCCCGAGCCCTCTGAGACTCGGAAGGCCCGCCTCTCCTCCCTTCCCTCCCGCCGAAACAAGGGCCTCCGCAGAAGGCAGAGAGCGGAATCGCCTGGCCACCATCTTCTTGAGGTAGTGCTCGTACGTGTCCACGAGCTTTGCCCGTGGTCGGTTGGCCGCCCGGAGGTCCAGGGAGGACCCGGGCCATCCAAACGGAAAGCCCTGAGGCCCACAGAGCAAAGGTCGAGCAGAGGGGGCCTCGCCGCGCGGCGACCTCGAAGGCCCGAGAGCCCTCGCCGCGCGGCGAGTCGCCGCGCGGCGAGCCGCCCGAGACGTCTTCGGAGGACGCCGCGACTTCAAAACCGTGCGGTGGCCCCGAATCCCCACTGACTCACCACAGGGTGGGGTCACCACGCTGTTTGGGAGCCGGCGAGATACTTCCTCGCCGTGGGGCAGACGGGTGGAGAATCGGTCTGGCTGTTTTCAGGCTGTCGCCTTGCCCTGCGGGGGCCTCGGTCTCTCCTGTGCAAGAGCGCCAGTTGGCGAGTACCGCAAGGAAATGCAACCTCGGGGAAAAGACATCTGGGCCACTCCTCAGAACCCCATGCTCCCCAAAGGCCTCCCGGCTTCAGAGAAGCCCGAGCGGAAGCCCTCGTTACTTTCTGAGAACCCTTCCAACCTCAAAGAAGCCTTCATCGGAACCTCCGGGCTTCTACACTGAACCTCCAGAATGCTTACATATAGCCGTCTACACTTGTAGACCCGTTTGGGCTGCCCCGCGGCCAGAATCCAAGCCCAAGAGTCCTGGAGCTGCCTTCTGCCCTACTGGCAAGCCACGGCGCGCCGCCCCCTTGGCTCGGGTGTTCGGTAACGATCGGGGGACCTAGGATTGCAAAAAAACCCTGGATTGCAAAAAAACCCTGGATTGCAATCCTGGGTTTTTGTTGCAATCCTTTTTTTGCAATCCTTCGAAACTTGGGGTGAATAGACGTGCGCATTTCGTGACCACCGTTGGGGCCCGCGGTGGCAGTTTAGGCTTCAATCAGGGCTGCCCTTTGTAGAAGAAGAGAAAACGGCACAACCATAAACTTCCGACGGTCCGCGCGGATTTCTGGAATCCGCGCCGGCCAGCCGGACCCCCCTCCCCGGCGCGCGGAGCGCGCCAAGGGCGGCGCGCCGGAGACGCCGCCAGGGGCGCCCAGCGCAGACCCGCGAAATCCGCGCGGATCGTCGAACATTTTAATTATGTTTATGACGGGTTCCTATTTCGACTTTAGGGCCACTTTCCTACAATCCTCGATACCTCCACGTTTACTGGATCCCCGTTGCCGTCCGCCCGATTGGCGCGCACCGTTGGTGTGGGCAACCGCCGGCCCCGACGGGCTGGCCGACCGACCAGGGAGGCTTCGCGAGGACCTGGTCGTCGGGAGCGTCCGCCAGCTCGGGGCCCAGGGCCTCGTGGCGGCGCGCGCAGGTCTGCGGGACCCCAGACCCCCACCTCCTCTCATCGTGAAGGGAGCAAGACGATAGTTTGCTGGACACTCCCACTGGGGGTTCTCCTCCTCCTCTTCCTCCTCCGCCTCCTCCTCCTTCCCGTCGTCCTTCTTCCCCAGACTCCTCCACGTCATCCACGTGGTCGTTTGGGGTCGCTGTGCTCCTCTCTCGCTCGCCTGCCCCGAAGCAAGACATCGTCCGGCACTGCGTGGCACGGGCTGCGCACGCAGCGCCCAAGACCGCACTGCGGCCGCGCACCTGCGGCCATACTCCCCCTGGGAGGGTCGCACACGTGCGGCCGTACAGCTCTCTTTGGCGCCACGCGCGTGGCGCGAGCCAGAACCTCATAAACAAAACATAGAGTAGATGGGGTCGGAGAGTCGCAACGCATCACCGGTGCATCGGCGACAGCGAGACGGAGACGAACGGGTTCCAAATCGCGCTGCATCGCCGATGTGTCGGCCGGCGATGCGGCGCGATCCTCCGACCCCATATTGTCCTGCCATATTTGGCACGCCTGAAGTTTCGGCCTGCAGAGGCCTGGGGCCCTGGTATCGTCGAGAAACAAGCCTAAATGAAACATTTGTTTGGGTTCGGGAAGCACTCGCTGGCCGTACGGCCGTGCAGGTGCGCTGAAGACACGTGCAGCCGCGGCAGGTGTAACTTTGCCTCCCGCCTGGCGTGGGACGCACCTCTGGCTGCAAAGGGAGAAGGAGAAGCAGGGATTGGAGTAGGCAAAAGATGAATTGAAGAGATAGCCTGAAGGGGGAGTGGCACCGGGCGCCGCTCGCGGGCGGGTAAAGCTTGGCCTCCAGCCCGGAAGGCTGCAGCGACCAACCAGAGTCGGACCTCCCCCAGCGTGTCCACTACCCCCACCCACACTGGCCCCAACCCACCCCTCTAAGCCCTAGGCAACAAACAAAGAAACAATGGTAGGCGAGGGGAGGGCGGCTCGCCGACTCGAGGCCGCAGGACATCTGGGTCCCGGGCGGCCTCTGGAGGCCTCCAAAGCCCCATGGGACCGAATAGGGCCACAGCGCGTACCCCAGGAAAGAACCGGAGCCTCAAGCCTCGAGCGCTCCTCCTGCTCAGCTTCCCCCATGGAGCAGAAGGGGTCCTTTGGAAGATGGGGACTTGACTCCAGAGCTTCGCCCTGGACGAGTCATTCCTCCCGCCGTTTCCTGATGATCCCAGGACCCGCGGAACGCCCCCGGGGCCTCTTCGGGCCATCCCTGTTTCCCGCGTGGGGGCGAGGGAAGGAGGAGAAGGAGGAGGAGGAGGAGGAGGAAGACGACGACGACGACCACCACGATGAAGGAGGAGGAAGGCGACGACGACGACGACTAGTCCGAACCATGCGCTTCCCTCCTGCTGGTCCTGCTCATCCTCCGGGGGGGGGGCCTTTCCGTGGCCGATCACCGACGCGCGGCCGCGGGACAGCTGGGTGGCGGCGATCTCCTCCGCCCGCTGCCGGAGGTGCGGAAGCCTCCTGTGGCGGCCGAGGGCCGAGCACGACGACGAAGGCGACCCCACGCGCTCGCACCAGCGTGCACCTGCAGGGGAGGAGGCTGGGGAGGAGGAACAAAGGAAGCCGAGGTGGAGGAGGAGAAGAGAGAGGAGGAGGATCGAACAAGAAATGGAGCCCGTGGCTTTCCCCTGTCGTTGCCTCTCCTGTTGTCAATGCGCTGTCCCTGAAAAGCCCCGACATTGTCCCTGGGTGTTTTTTTTCATCTCGAATCGTTTTCTGACGGTCCATGGGCCCAGCGAGGGCCCCCAGAGGCCGAAAACGGCCAGAAACCTCCCATCCTTGTTTTTGTTTGACGACTATCTCTCTTTGGGCCCCGTGTTTTTCACATCACCGCTCCACCAAAAGTTTGTCCGAGCTGTGGCCTTGAAGGCCGTTCGCGGGGCGGCTGAGCCCCTTTGAACCCGCCGCCCCGTGTTGCCTCACGCCAGCGCCGCCAGCTCCAAGCGGTCTGGTTTCCCCCCGGGACCGAAGCGAGGCTGCTCAAGGCCTTTGGACTCATGATCCCTCCGCGGAATACCAAGACACCTGAAACGGCCACCAGCGGTGCAAGCCTCTGTAGGCTCGCCTCTGAAAACTGCATTTCGGACAGGGCCTGCTGACCTTCTGCAATGTAAATGTGCGCAATGGCAGTGTCCTGCCAACGACTCTTCGCAAGGGTAGCGGGCATGTTGCGAGCACGCTTGAAATACGGTGTGGCCCCGCCTCTTCGCAGGCTGTAGGGCTTGAATATGAACTGCTGGCAATCAATCGCAGCACGCAGCTGCTCCAACTGTTCACGAAACACTTGCACACTGGTTGACCATCCTTAATCACACGTTGCCTCGCACGGGAAGACCACAACTGACCCCTGGAGGAACTCGGGAACTTGAGCAATCGCCACTTGCGCCAGCGAGCTGTTCCAACCGCCGTTGACAATCAATGGATCAACCGAGCGTGCGAACGAAGGACGCGAGCATTCGAACAACCCGTGCATTGGGGCCTGCTGAGAGCCGAATTCCGAAGCAAGATAAGCACCGATCATGACGAAATGACCTGTAGAGTGCCAGACCACGGCAGTGAGACCGAAAAACGGTCGGGCACCGAGGAGGCCCTGTAGGTTATGAGGTTGTTCGAAGGGCGTGGCGGAGAGATGCGACCTCACAAACAAGGCCTCGCCAGCAGACGTCCCAGACTGCGCCCTGCCAAAGGCCTTCGCTGAAGTGGAACGCACCTTCCGACACTCCTGCCTCGCCGAGCGGAGCAGGAGCCCCTCCGCTGCCCTTCTGCTGCTTCGACCGGGCTTCCCCCTGCCGCTGCCGCGGGCTCGCCCTGCCCCCCCCCCCGATGGTAGGGCCCCGCGGCGCCTCGCGATCTCCAGCGGGCTCGCCCGGTAGGGTAGCTTCAACAGCTCCGCGAGCGGGCCCCGCACGTCCACGGGCGCTCTCGCTGCAGCGACGCGGGGGGAAGGGGGAAAAAAAACGCTACGCGTTCCGATCTTCCTCCTCCTCCTCCTCCTGGTCCCTCTGCCCTCCGCCGCCCCCTCCTGCTCCTCCCATCCTCTTCCTCCTCCTCCTTCCCCTCCTCCTCCTCCTCCTCCTCCTCCTCCTCCTCCTCCTTTGCGTCCTACTCCTTGTCCTTTCCCTGCTGCTGCTCCTCCTCCTCCTCCTCCTCCTCCTCCTCTTCCTCCTCCTCCTCCTCTCCGAATCCTCCCATTCCATCTCACCCCTTTTCCGTTTCCTCCTCGCCGCCGCCGCCACCGCCGTCATCATCCTCATCACCATCGTCATCATCATCAACCGCATCATCAGCATCACCATCATCAACAACAACAGCATCATCATCATCAGCATCATCATCATCATCATCGGCCGTATCATCATCATGATCCTCAACATGATCATCACCAGGCTCATCATCATCATCATCATCATCATCATCATCATCATCATCACCATCACAATCACCATCACCATCACCATCATCATCAGCAGCATCAACATCATCAGCACCAGCGGCATAATCCACATCACCAACGCCACCAACATCATCATCAAGATCACTATCCTCGCCATCATCAACATTGTCATCATCATCATCGTCATCATCAGCATCGTCATCATCATAATCATTTGCATCGCCATCCCCATCCTCATTATGGCCAACACCACCACCACCAACATCACCAGCATAAATTCCAGCATCAACATTAGCATCGCCAGCAGCATCAGCATCAGTATCACCATCACCATCAGCATCGATATCATCATCAGCACCACCATCAGCATCAATACCCTCGTCACCAGCATCATCACCAACATCATCACCACCAACAGCATCTGGGCCATGACCATGACCATGACCATCAGCATCACCACCATCATCATCAGCAGTATCATCAACACATCGTCATCATAAGCATCACCATCGTGGATGCGCAGGAGGTGGTCCCTCACCGCGGCGTGCGCCATCCGCCAGCCCACCGCGTCGGGACGCGTGCGCCGTCCGCCTGCCTACCTACAGCCCCGCTCCCTTCCGTGGTGGCCATGATGGTTCAGGCAGTTGTTCGCACGGCGCGTCGATCTCCCAAGCCATGACCAGCGCCACCAACGGTATCGGCGAAACAACGGCCACCAACATCATTCTCGCAAGTTTCACGCAGGCGATGGGACTAGCGCAACAGCACCCCCAGCCAAATGGCGGAGGTAGGCGCCCGTGGGCGCCATGTAGAAAAATCAATCGAGTGACTCTCGACGCCCTTCAGCCGGTGCACCAGACTTCTTGGCAACAATGACCATCTGCTCTACATCCGCCACACGTTGACCTCTGCTCTGGGCGGAGACGTAGGTGCACTCCAGCTCCGGCAGTAGCGACGGAGAGGGCTTGGTGGGCAGCTCCTGCAGGACATCCAAGCGGCCCATGCTCTCAGCCTTGGGGGGGGGGGGGGCGCAGGCTCGAGCTCCTCGAAGTTGAGCGCCAACGCCATGCAGTCTTCATCCAAGTTGCAGGTCCTGCGACCAGTAAGGTCTCTCCATCTTAGCCAGCGCGTCGCCTGCGCGCCTCTTGACCGCCTCCCCGATCGCGCGCGAGCTCGCCAGCTGGATCGGAGAGAAGAGCCCCGCAGCCCCCCAGCGCCCCCTGCTCAGGTGGCCCAAGTGCACGCAGTTCAAGCCCACGACGCCGAGGAGGGCCCCGACTTCCACGGCGACGTCCTGGGCCAGCTGTCTCTGCACGGCGGGCCAGTTCGCGACGTTGACGGGGGGGCCCTCAGCATTCGACGGACGTTTCTGCATCATCACCTGTCCCCAAGCGAAAAACGACGCCAGCGCCCTGGCTGGTAGAGGAAGCGCGTCTCGACCTACGCGAGATCCCGGCGATGGCGGCGCGACGCCTGTAGGGAACGTCCTCATGGGCTCTCCAATGTCACCCGGCATCCGTCGCGCGCTGGAGAGGGCCCCGAAGCCAAACACAAGCGTCGTTTTCTTGCCGGGCTCGCTTCCGCACCTGCGGGGCGCAACGCTGGCCTTCCACTGACTAGGCGTCGGGGCGGCCACCGCGTTGCTCCTGACCCCCCCCCCCCGGCCAGGCGAACTTCGCGACCCGCCTCGGCGCGCCGCCTGGCTGGGCCGCTTCCTTGGCTGACGCTCGGCGCCCGAAGATCTGCTGCAGGATCCTCTTCTTCAGCTGTCTCTTGAATTCCCCTTCGGCCCGCGGCGCGCTCGCGCGCGCCGCCGCCCGCGCTGGCGCGGGCGATCCGTCCGCCGCCCGAGGGCCCCGGGCGGTCTGTCAGCGCGGGCAAGGCGCCCCCCGGCGCCAGCGCTTCTGGAGCAGGCAGCGCTGGCGGCTGGCGGCCAGGGGTCGAAGCCCTACTCGGCCACCTAGAGCAGCAACGTCCGCGTGGGCGCCGACGCCGGTGATCGTCAAAACTCCGGGGCCGGGGCCTCTGCCGCGGTTCCGGCCATCGGGGCGGGCGCGCGAGCGAGCGCCGCCACCCCGGCCAACCCTCTATCCGCGGGTCCCCGGCCGGCCCAGCAGCTGGGCCACGCGGACCTCAGCCGCCTCGACGCCAGTCGCGACCTCCTCGCCCTCGACCGACGAGCTCAGACCGCCGTCGTCGGGCGGGATCAGCTCGAACCAATTCATGCGCGAATGGCCATCTCGAATGGTCGTCTGCAGCGCCGTAATCCTGCAGAAGATGTAGTCGAGCGCGCGGGGCGGCTTTCCCGCCGCGATGAGATCGGCGCACTCGCACAACGCCCGCAAATCACGATACCGATATTCTCCGATCTCCCGAATCAGATGCGCTGGGCGCAGAGCGCGAAGAAGAAACTTCGCCGCCGCCGCCTCGAACAAATCTGAACCTGAGTCGTCGCGATTGGAAATGCCGGCCCATCTGCGGGACTTGACGCCCGTCCCCTTGTAAGTGAACCTCCGCTCTGCAACGGGGCGCTCGCCTGGCACGCAATCATCATCCCTCTCGAGAGGATCGCCGCCCTCCTTCTTGCCCAAGTGCCCCGCCGCAGCTCGAAGGACAGCCTTCTCATCCGAGTTGCTGGCCTGGCCGCCCCCTGGCGCCCTGTCCGCGGCGTCGCTCGGCGCCTGGCCCGCAACGCGCGCCTGGGCCACCTCTCCGAGCTTCCGCCGCTTCTCGCCCAAAGGTTTGGCCGACGAGTCCGACGGCGGGAGTGCGCCAGGAGCAGCTGCGGCCAGCTTGCACGTCTCCGCAAGCATCGCGCGCGGCCTGCCGAGACGTTCCTGGTAGCTGTCTTCCCCCTCCGCCTTCGTGGCCTTGCCCTCGAGCGCCTGGAGCTCGCGCTCTAGCTCTTCGAAGGCCGCGTCGTCGTCCTCGTCATCGTCGTCTATCCTGACGAGCGCGCTGGCCTCGCGGTCCGCAACAGCAGGGCGCTTTGCGCGCAGGGACCGGCCTTGCGGCTGGAGGGGCGGCCTCGGGCGGAGCGACCACCATTTGCCTCGACTAGAGCCGCTTGTGCGACGTCATGCGGGATGGCGGGGCACACCTCGCTCTCGCGGAGCGTCTCCAATGCTGCCTCGTCCGCGGTGAGCTGCTGTGGCGAGCGGGCGCGCAACTCCTGGACTCCGGCCCGCGGCGCCCTGTACGCGCACTGCGGCACAGGCCCGCTGCACACGTTCAGGAGCAATTTGTCGCCCCTTTTTTCTGGCGCGAATCGAGCCACCAAGAGAAGCACGGCTCGATCGCGACGAATTGCTCCACCTCATACGCGACCGTGACCAGCCGCCGCACCACGCCAAGCGCGGGGCCGCCGTCGCTTTCGTCCTCGTGGCTCAGTGGCGGAAGCAGCGGCCAGGCTCCATGCCCTCCATGAGCCTGCGGCGGGCCTGGACCCCAGGTCAAGATCACGGAATCGGGAAGGCGTGCGGCGTGCAGGCCTCGAACTTTCTCGCCCCACCCCAGGCTCTCCTGGGTCACCATCCGTTTAAGCCGCACACCTACGGAACGAGACGGCGGCGCACAGCCCAAGCGGCCCAAACATACCACCAACCCCAAAGGTGTTGTTTCACATGTGTTGTTTGTCATGTGCGTTCGGGCCACTCGTTTTTGAAATCCGTGCGAACACGAAACCCATGATTTCATAATAATTCAAGCATGCCCGCGCGACGACGCGCGCGTGCGGAATGTGTATGTTTGTTGATGTGATGTTTTTTGCACATGTATGAATTTCGATCAACGAGCGCGCGCGTTCAATTATTCTTCGGGGCGATGAGGAGGGGGGTCGACGCCAGCTTGATTGGAATGGTACGATGGTCTTGTAAGATGACTGTAAGATGAGGCGGAACCGTGAATACATTGCACATCGCCAGGGGGCGATAAGCCTGAGGGGGACGGTGGTAGACCCGACTTTAATATCAGCCAGCGTTTGGTTCCAAGTAAAAAGATGGACAAGACAAGAGCGAAAAAAGGAGAAGACGAGGAGGAGAGGACAGGAGGAAAGGAAACCATAGGAATGCATACGAATCCTAGCTTATGATCCAAAGGACTCCATACGCATAAGCATTGATATAAGCATTGGCATAAACACTGGAATCCATAGGACTCAAGGGAACCCATCGGAATCCATAGGAATCCATCGTACTCGCCATTGGAAAGAGCTGGGGGGGGGCAATTGGAAATTAAGGGGGGGCGCCATTGGAAAAAGGGGGGGGGAGGGGGGCGCCATTGGAAAGTAGGGGGGGCATAGGAATTAGGGTGGGGACACTGGACCAATGAGTAGGGCTTGAGTTAGAACTCCTATAGGGCAAGCCGATTTGGAGAACAACGAGAATATATGTTTCGTGCGGCGACGAAGCAACGACGAGGCGGCAACGGCGACAACGTAGCCGCAAGACCAGCACATAGGCCCAGACGACGGGCGGCGACGCGGCAGCGAAGGAGCGGTGACGCCGACAACACAGCCGCCAGACTGGCAGACAGGCCTAGACGGGCGGCAACGAGGCGGCGATGGGGCGGCGACGGAGCGGCAACGGCGACAGCATAGCAGCCGAAGCGGCAGACAGGCCAGGCGACGGGCGGTGACGAGGCGGCGCCGGGGTGACCATGGCGACAACGTGGCCGCCAGAGCGGCAGGCAGGCCCAGGTCTCAAGTAACAAACAAGACAACCTGAATGCAAACAGTGTCTAGGGAATACAGATGATTGTAGAAACTGCCGCCATGGACCATGTGGCCGCACACACACATACATGCATCATCGCAACTCTCCCGGCACACCGACGCATGACATACCCTCGTTTGCCTTACCTCCAGCGCTTCAATCGTATCGCCTTTCTGCTAATCATGCAACATTGGATGCCGACAAATGAAACATCCGTTCGTCTGGCCCCTTCTGCTCGTCTGTCCCCGTCGCAGCTGCCCTGTGACTCTCCTCTGGCGTGGAAAATACCCCGTATGTTCAACAAGTCTCGCGGCACGCGAGTCAATCTCATGCCGACGAACAATACAGATCGACGAAGTGCGCGCACACACTCAAGAAAATTCGTGAGCGGGCGACGAACGGTGAAAACACATTGTCCGCGATCGGGGATGCCTGCCCCCGGGACGGCTGGACCATGCATGAACTTACGCTCCACCGTAGTTCTGTTTCCAGCCGCCCAGGGGCAGGCGCACCCAATGGCGGAGAAGGTGAAGATAACAAGCCATAACTGCTCTCATCGAGTGCGACGCCTATTCGGGCGACCATGGCCTCCTCAGCATCTTCCAATTCAGAGCGCTGCGGAGAACTCAACCAATTCGTCATAGGCTGCACGACCTCCTTGGGGCGAAAGAGACATGGGGCTTATACAGCTGATGGAAGCGGGTCGTGCAGGACAGGATCCTGAAATTCGTCTACGATGTCAAGCCCCTGGGGAGCTGTACGGGCCTCGATAAAGTCACAAAACGACTCAAGGTATTGGTGGAAGCCCGAAAGTCTGGTACCCCTTTTCTTCAACACCCGCTTCCTTCCTTGCCACTTCTGGAAGGGGAGGGAGGGGACTCCGTCCAGAAACCGCCGAACACGTTTGCAAACCAAGGTAACTTCCTCCTCCGCCTCCGACAACCTCTCCCTGCTCCTCCTCCTCATCCTCCTCCTGCCCAACTGAAAACACAAATGCTTCTACGTATTTATCTAAGCGTATGTACTAGAACCATCGCGCGCGCTATGCGCGCGCTCTGATTCTAGCGCAAGCTCTGGGGGGGGCTCTGGCAAATCTTGGTCAGATGTTTCATGTTGGAAACGCCTGGGGAACTCTCCGGAAGCCTCCGGAGGGGTCCCGAGACTCCTGGGGAGAGCTGGTCGGAGCTTCGACTCGTGTTCCCCTCCTGGGGGCGTCGTGGACTCGTTTTGAGGCTCTCGGAAGCCTCGACGATGTCAGGGGCAGGCGGAGGGGATTGGACGAGGGGCGGGAGATCGAAGCGGATGGGCGCGAGGAGAACCACGGGGGGGAATTGGGAAGAGGAGGAAGAAGAGGAGCAGAAAGAGGAAGAAGACGACCAATATTTGTTTCAGTGACAACTGCGCACCGCACCGCCTTCGGAAAGGACCCCAGCGGAGTGGCGAATCGACGTCCCAAAACAGCCGAAGAGGACGACCAAGATGTTCCCAGAGGCGTCGTCGGGAACGTCTGCATCAGGACGACGTCGACGACGACTGCACTGGTGGGTGGAAGCCGATGGTACAGGTGAAACGTCCCGTCGGGAAGGGCATCTCACGAGTGCGCAACCTACGGCTGCCGTCCCGACGGGCTCGGGGGAGCCTCGATCAATGCAAGTTGGGAACGCCTGGGAAACTCCCTGGAAGCCTCCACAGGGATCTGTTCGGGGCCCGTCGGGGCGTCCTGGAGATACCTGGGGAGGGCTGGTCGGAGCTTCGACTCGCGCTCCCCCTCTTGAGGCCGTCGTGGACTCCTTTCTTGGAAGCCTCTGGGGCCGCCTCGGTGTCCTCTTGGGGCGCTCTTAGAGACCTCTTTGGGCAGTCTTGAGGCGGTCTTAGGTGTTTTTTGGGCTGTCTTGGAACGCAGGGGCGAAGGAAAAACGAGATCCCCCAAATTAGTGAACAAAAACCATGGGGAATCAATGAATTTGGTCTCTCGGGGATCTCTCATGCAGACTCTTGGAAGACTATTGGGCCGTCCTGGCCGCTTCTTGAGCCGGCTGGGAGCTACCTTCGACGGCTTGGAACGATCTGTGGAGCACTCCTGGACAACCTTGGGAGCCACTTGGTGCCCTGGAGGCCCATCATGGCGCTCAGGGGGCGCACATACATACACACACACACACACACGTACACACATACATACATACATACATACATACATACATACATACATACATACATACATACATACATATATATATATATATATATATATATATATGCTACTCTCACCTGTTTTTGTGCACTCCGCCAGGGAGCTTGTCAGGCCAGGACCTCTGGGGGCTACTCAGGGGTTAACCCAGGAGTTGGGAGAGGTCCCGTCCCATCAGCGGCCACCAAGGGCCTCCCAACCCGCCTGGCACAGCCGTGGCGCTTAAGCACCCGCGCTGCGTCCCAGACGCGCTGGGCCCTTGCCCCGCCGGGAGGTTAAACGTCACCAACCCCTGACCCCCTAGCTCTCGTCCTGGCAAAAACTCGCGCGGAGGCAGGCACGGCCACGCGCGAGACGGTAGCAATGCTGCCCCCTGTCTGTGGGTGGGCCAACACAGCTACGGAAGATGGATGAAGCTCACGCTATCCATCAACGGCGTCGCGCACGCTCAGGTGGACTCCGCATAGGTTTCCTTGGAAGGTTCATATATGCTACTCTCACCTGTTTTTGTGCACTCCGCCAGGGAGCTTGTCAGGCCAGGACCTCTGGGGGCTACTCAGGGGTTAACCCAGGAGTTGGGAGAGGTCCCGTCCCATCAGCGGCCACCAAGGGCCTCCCAACCCGCCTGGCACAGCCGTGGCGCTTAAGCACCCGCGCTGCGTCCCAGACGCGCTGGGCCCTTGCCCCGCCGGGAGGTTAAACGTCACCAACCCCTGACCCCCTAGCTCTCTCCACGGTCCCTACCCTGGCAAAAGCCGCTCCTTCTTGCTACTTATGCCCTCCACCTTGGTGTAATGACATGAGGGAAGAAAGGTGGAGGATGGGCGGGACAAACAGACAGGCAGCTCAAAGCAAGAACAGTCCATCTCGCCTCTGCTCGCAGGCACGCGCGAGCAGGTTGCAGCGCCTCCGCTGCGCGGGCGAGAGATTTAATTCAGTGGCTTCGGCGACGGCATCATGGACGTAAAAGCGGGCCGTGCGCGCCGATGCCATCTGCCTCGGAGCAGCGTCTGCTCATGGAGCTGTGGCTGCGGAAGTCGGCGGAGGCGCCTCCTGACGCCAGCTGTAAAGAGTGAGCTTGGCATCTTGCAGCTCCAGCAGCTCACGTACGCGGCCGAAAGTGACATGAAACTGCTTGGCTCCATCTCGAGGCACCAGTCTTGTCCGTGCGCCTGAGCCTTTGCTCTGGCAAGGAGGGTGACCGCTACACCGCTCCGCGCGAGCACGAACTGACGGGCACCAGTCTAATGCTGGCTCTTGGTGCTGCACAGCTGCAGCACGGTCATTTGGCGGACTGGATGCAGCTGTACATCAGACCACGCGAGCGAGGTCAACTCCCTTGCCGGAGGAAAGCGTCGCAGCCTGCTGCCAGCACCGCCGCAGCGCCACGCTGGCCCACGGCCGCCAATGCACCTGCGAACGCTGCTGTAGGACTGATCGGCAGCGCGCGCCCAGCTGACTCCAGGCGTTGCCGTTTGGCCAGCGCCAGCTGTCCCACAGGTGCCCTCGCACGGGCGGGAAAGCGTGCATGATGCCTGGAATTGCATTATTAAGTTCAACTAGAGATTCTCCGCTCAGCCAACGGCTCCCGATGAAGGCGGCCACGCCAGCGTCGACCTGAGCGGGCGTCTGCGGCTGCCGGTGCTCCTGAATCCAGAAAACAACGACCTCCTCGACCGCCGCACGATGCCGCCGCAGGGTGAGCGGCGTGACCAACGCCCCCTCGGCGGCTGGGACCTCGCTGCAGCTCGTTGCGCCATCGCCTGGGCCGTGACCCGGCTCACCTTTGCTGGTGCTTGCGCTGCCCGCTTGCCAGGGGCGGCTCTCCTGGCTCTCGCCGGCGGCAGCACTGGCAGCGGGGCAGCGGCGGCCGAAGCCCCAGCGGGGCGGCGTGTCGGCGGGCATGTCGACGGTGTCGCAGTACTTGTACAGCGGGTACCTGGCCGTCGCGTGGAGCAGGGAGTTGAGCTGGCGGAGCGCGGGCTGCAAAGCCCTCACGCTCGATCTGCCCTTGGTGCTGACTGCCGTGAACGGTTGGGCATCCAGGAAGGGCAGGCAGCGGCAGCGGTGGCTCTCACCTGCTCGGCACCTCCAGCGTGCTCCAGCCACCGCAGCCTCCAGCTCCAGCGCTGAGATGTGCCCGGGCCGCTGCCAGCGCAAGCCTGGCTGCTGGAAATCGGGGAACACGTTCCAGCTCGCCTCAGGCACGGGCAGTTGGCCCCGCTGACGCCTCGCGTCCCAGATGAGGCTGCCGTCCCCGTAGTTGTCGACCTGGTAGCGGTAGCTGTCGGCAGCCCAGCGCCCCGCGGCCAGCACCGAGGCGCAGTCGGGGCCCACGGGCCGGAACGGCGGGTGGCGTCCCGGGATCGGCCTCGTGAAACACGGGAGGTCCGCCTCTGGATCCAGCGTCGACCAGCCCTCCAAGACCGAGGCATTCAGTGGGAGCCTCTCCACCACAAGCAAAACCTCGAAGCTCGCGGCCTCCCTCACGCCCTTGGTCTCGTCAGTGACGTCGGACGCCGTGAACGCCGTGACGGGCCACGAGCACCAGTACAGGCGCGGCCGCTTGACGTGGGCGTGACACCTGGGCCCGAGGAACACGGGCGTGACACCCAGCGCCCTGGAGAACTCCGCCCTCGACTCCAGGGTCATGCTGGACACGTTCTCGACAAACACCATGGTGCGCTCAGGACAGGCAACCTCCGCTGCCTGCGTCAGCTCGGGGACCGTGAAGAAGAGCTTCGGCCTCGACCCCTCTAGGTCGGTCCCCGCGACATTGATGCTTGCAAGATCTTGGCTCGGGCTTCCCGCGCTCAAGACGACCCGGTCGGCGTCCCGCGCGTAACCCTTCAGCATCTCCGTGAACCGCACCGTGTCGACGGCCTCGACGTTGCCAAGCTTGGTCACGCCCGCCCAACGGCGACGCACCAGTCGCCAGGCAGCGGGCTCTACCTCGCAGCTGACGGGGGCGATAATGTCGATCGGGAGTCTGGAGGCCTCCACCGCGGCCCCAGCACCGCCTGCGTAGAGCTCGATGAGAACGAAGCGAGGGCGCCACCGCGCACCACGCACAGGAGCCGCAACTGCATCAGGCCGCAAAGTCACTGCTGAAGCTCCTCCCCTCGCGCAGGCAACGCCCTGCGCCGAGAGCCCAGCCGTGTGGCAGATGTCCCCAGCGCGCTCACTGGCATCGGTCGCGATGTCACAAATGACGATCTTTGCGCGCAGGTCGGTGTATGCCAGCGGCAGCGCCATCGCGAAGCCCAAGAGCTCGTCGCACATTCCAAGGGGATCAGCCTGCGGTCGCGTCCTGCACCCAGCAGCCCCCACGCTGTTGAGGAACCCCATAGAAGGCCTCCTGAACTCCGCTGCCCTGACGCACCTGCCCAGGACCATGAGCATGCCCTGCGTCGAGAGGCCCTGTCTGCCCATGCCGCACAGGATGAGCGCGAGCGTCCGGTGCAGC